CCAGGCTCCTCACCCTCAGGCTCAGCATCCCTAGACTCTGTACCCTCAGACTCAGCACCCCCAGGCTCCGCACCCTCAGGCTCAGCACCCCCAGGCTCCGCACTCGCAAGCTCAGCACCCCCGAGATCCTTCGCCACTCTACCTCCACAGTTGCAGCAGCTCAGCCGCGCAGCAGCAGGGGTGAGCGTGGCGGTGGGCGTGGGGGTGGGCGTGGTGGTGGGCGTGGGGGTGGACGAGGCGGATCACCGGGTTGCGGTGGCAGTGGTAGCTGTGGTGCGGGTCGCGGTGCGGCAGCTGCCTTTCCTTTCTGTCAGTACCTGCCTCGCTACGGTCCCACTCAGGAACAGCGCTGCGGCCAAACCACTCATGCCATAGAAACATGCTTCAAGACACTCAATGATGAGTGGTTTGCCCGTGGCAACACCGGCACCCCTCCTCGCTGGTCTGCCCTCAACCCACACCCCACTCCCCTTGAAGTCCATTCCTCTCCCCTCTATGAGCCTTCCTCCTCCACCTAGGCCCACCAGGCCCTTGCCCCTCCCCAGCAGCAGCAGCAGCAGCAGCTTGGGAGTCAGCAGCAGGGGTTACAGCAGTATGGGCAGCAGCTTCTCCTTTCTCAACTCCAGCAGCAGCTCCAGCATCTCTAGCAACAGCTCGACCTACAGCCACAGCTGCCCCTCCTCCCTCCTCCTCCCGTTTCCCAGCAGCAACCCTTTCCTACCTGGACTGCCGGGAGTGCTGCCTCCGCAGCCCATCTCTTGGGTGCATCTCCAGCGCCGTCTGCAGGTGGCAGTGTGACCGCTTTCCCCTCTTCTGGTTTTGTCGGTTTGCTAGGTCAACCTGAATCTGTTGCATCTCCCATGTACCCTTCCTCTGTTAATGAAACTTCGTTCCAGTACTCTGCCTCACCCTCCTCCACCCTTGACTTCGTCCTAGACAGTGGAGCCACTGACACTGTCCTTCGTGATGCTGGTACACTGCGCCCTCTCCCCACACCCACCTCCCTCCTCGGTCCTGATAGCAGTTTTTCTATCCCCTGTCACAACACTTCCACCCTTCCCTGTCCTCTCTTTCCCTCAGGTACTGTCATCGGTCTCCACACTCCCTCCCTACGCACTAACCTCCTCTCCCAAAGGTCCCTCCAACAAGCCAATATCACCACTGTCTTCCCAGGTGGTGCTAACTACTGTGCCCTTTACAATACTGCTACAGGTTGCCTTCTCTCTCGTATTTCCTTCTGTCCTCGTTCCCGTCTGTACACCCTTCAGCTTCCCCGCCCTCCCACCTGCCAAGTCGCCTCTCCCTCTCTCCTCCCCCCCCCTCCCCTCCCTCCCACTAACCCACCCCTTCCTCCCCGCCCCCCTGACTCTGACTGTTCCTGTCGCTCCCTCTCCTACCCTACCATCCTCCTCCATCACAGGCTAGGTCACCCTAACTTCGTTACTCTGCGCTCCTCTGTCTCCTCCGGTCTCCTCCACGGTCTCCCCTCCTCCCTCCCTCCCCTCCCCAAATCCCCTGCCCCCCCTTGCACTGTCTGTGTTCAGAGCAAGCTCAAGCAGCAGCCGCACCGGAGCTCCCCCTCCGCTACTGCACAGCCACTTGATCTTGTTCACATGGACCTCTGGGGCCCTAATCCCTCTCCCACTCGCCAGGGTCATCGCTGCCTTCTCATGCTCGTTGATGATCACAGTCGGTACTCGTCCGTCTCTCTCCTTCAGACGAAGGCGGACGCCCCGGCTGCGATCATCGCCTGGCTCGAGCCGGCAAACACCCATTTTGGGCGTCCTGTTCGCCGACTTCACTCTGATGGTGGTGGTGAGTTCCTTAACAACCAAGTCTCCTCCTATTGTCAGTCTCGTTGCATTCTTCAGACTTACACCCTCGCTCACTCCCCACAGCAGAACGGTGTGGCTGAGAGTCGTGTTCGAGAGATCACCAAAGCAGCCCAGTGTCTTCTTGTCCACGCCTCCTGCCCCCCTTCTCTGTGGGGCTACGCCCTCCTTCATGCCGCCCTCCTTACTAACCGTTACCCTCACCCCCTTCTCCCTTCCACCACCCCCACTGAGCTGTGGACAAAGGACAAGCCTGATGTCTCATCTCTTCGTGTCTGGGGCTCAAAGGCATATGTCTTTATTCATCCCTCTGACCGCTCACGCTCCATGGGAAAGCTTGCCCCTCGCACCCTTCCCTGCATATTCCTTGGTCATAACCCTACCTCACCTGACTATCTTTTCCTCCATCCCCCCTCAGGTCGTGTAGTCCGCAGTAGGGATGTGGTCTTTGATGAGTCCACTCCCTACTACTCCTCTCCCCCATCCACTGACCCACTCCCCCCTCTCACCTGTCCCCTTGCCTGGTCTGACACCACCCCTCCCCCATTACTCCCTCCTCCCCCCATCCTCCCGCCTCCCCCCCCCTCCGTCGTCCCCGTCCCACGGTGCCCCTCCCTCGTCTGGTGATATCTTTGACCCGGAACCTCTGTCCTCTCCGGTCTCCCCCACATATTCCTCTCCCAGTGCCCCTCCCCCCCCCCCCTCTCCCCTCCCTCGCCACCGACCCGTTCTTCCCCTCCTCCCTGCACCGTACTTACCCGGTACCCCCATACCAGGTCACGTGACGGTATCCTTGGTGCACCGCCCCCTGTTACCCTCTCTTCCTCTACCCTCCCCCCTCTCTCCCCTCTCCTTCACCACTTCTTCCAGGCTGTCTTGCATCAACCTCCTCCTGCAGCAGCCCCCTCTGCCTCCTCTCCCTCACCAGCAGCAGCGTCCGCAACGGCACCAGCAGCTGCACCAGCAGCAGGACCAGCAGCAGGACCAGCAGCGGCACCAGCAGCAGGACCAGCAGCGGCACCAGCAGCAGGACCAGCAGCGGCACCAGCAACGGCACCAGCAGCGGCACCAGCAGCGGCACCAGCAGCGGAACCAGCAGCGGCACCAGCATCGGCACCAGCAGCGGCACCAGCAGTAGCACCAGCAGCCATCCCCGCCTTCCACACCTCCCTCTCTGAGGACTCCCATGAGGAGTTCCTTGACCTCCACCTCTGTAACCCCTCGCTTCTACCCATCACATTCGACCTCTCCGGCACACCCGTCTTTGCCTTCTCCTCTGCTCCCTCCATTTTCATCCCTACCACGTATGCGGAGGCAATGGCTTGCCCCGACGCCCCTCTCTGGCTCGCCGCCATCATCAAGGAGCTGGAGGCCTTTATCGCCAACTCCTCCTTCGTTGATGTGCCTCGCCCTCCCACCTCTACGAACGTGGTGAAGGGGAAGTGGGTGTTTCGCGTCTAGCAGCTGCCAGGGGAGCCGCCCGTCTACAAGGCTCGTTACTGTGCCAAGGGCTTCACGCAGCGGTATGCTATTGACTTCTTCGATACCTTCTCCCCTACCGCCAAACCTGCTACCGTTCGAGCCGTGCTCGACCTCGCTGCTCGCCTAAATATGGAGATCCACTCGATGGACGTTTCTAACGCCTTTCTGCAAGGCATCCTCCGCGAGCTAATCTACATGGAGCGTCCAGCCGGATTTCACCTTCCCTTCCCAGCTAACTCTGTCTGGCAGCTGCGTCAACCTGTGTATGGGCTCTGACAGGCCCCTAGGGAGTGGCATGCTAAGCTTGCCGCCACCCTTGCTGAACTTGGGTTTCGCACCTCCCGCTCCGACGCCAGCCTCTTCCTCCGCGCCTCCCCCTCCCCCTTCTACATCCTTGTGTAAGTCGATGACATGATTCTGCTCACTGCCGACCTTGCTGAGTTGGAGCGTGTTAAGGCTGAGTTGGGTAGCCGTCTCAAGTGCAAGGACTTGGGAGAGCTGCAGCATTACCTGGGCATGACCATCACCCGCGATCGCTCTGCCCGCACCATCTCTCTCTCACAGGGTCATTACTTGCAACAGGTCTTGGAGCGGTTTGAAATGGCCCGGGGCAATGCCCAACATACTCCTCTTTTTGTCGAGCACCACCTCTCTCCACCCACCTCCCCCTCAACCTCCTCCCATCCTTATCCTGAGCTCGTTGGCTCCCTCATGTACGCCATGGTCTCCACTCGCCCTGACCTTGCCTACCCCATCAGCGTCCTTGCTCGTTTTGTTGGCGCAGGCAACCATACGGAAGAGCACTGGCAGGCCGCCAAGCGTGTCCTCCGGTACCTTCGTGGAACCAAGGACTATGTCCTTACCCTTGGCGGCCCCTCCCCACCTCTCCTCAGCGGCTACAGTGACTCCTCCTTGGCTGATTCTCGGCCGGATCGTCGCTCCTCTCTTGGCAGCAGCCTTATCAGCTGGCGCTCCACCCGCTCCTCGGCTCCCTCTCCTCCCGCGAGGCGGAGTTGTATGCCGCTACCATGGCTGCGCAAGAGGCCCGCTGGCTCACCTTCCTTCTTGAGGAACTTGGTGCCCCCCAGCGCTGTCCCACCATCTGGTGTGACAATGCTACTACCATTCACCTCACTAAGGATGTTGTGTTTCACGGGCGCTCCAAGCACATTGAGCTCCGTCATTTCTTCATTCGCGATCTTGTTCAGCGGGGCACCTTCGGCTCGACAAGATTGACTCGGCGACCAACCTTGCTGACATCTTCACAAAAGCTCTTCCTCATGCGGCTCACTCTTCACTACTTCATCTCCTTGGCCTCACTCCTCCTAAGTCGCCTCCCGCCTCTTGATTCTAGCCTTCTAGCCTTATGCATGTTGGGGGATTGTGTTGTAATTTCATATTTTATACAATATACATAGGCTAGAATTAGATATGTAGCACATTTATAAATTGGGGGGTTGTTTAGTGTACCCTCCAACCACATTTTGTGGTTGGTTGGGATTGGTCCTTAACTCAACCAATTCCAACCAACACACATTTGTGGTTGCTTGGGCCACAAGCAAGCTCACCCATTGGTCAACATATTGGCCAATAGGGTAAGCTTCCCTCACATCTCTCTCTTGCTCATTGTTTGTACTAAAGGGCCTCTTGGCTCATTATTCCATTCATCAATTCTCTCCTTTAACAATGGGGTTGTTAGACGCTCTGGCAGACATGGGGCTGAGTGGGGCTCAAATAGCGGATGTGGGGGAGGGGAGGGTAGCAGCGGAGGACACGGTGCAGCTGGTGAGCTGCGTGCTCGACCTCTCCAAGCTTGAAGCGCGCAAGATGGGGCTTTGTTGTGGGCCGGTTGACCCGAGGGCGTGGCTGGAGGGCGTTGTTGGGGAGAACTACAGGAGGGCTCGCGAGAAGGGGATAGAGCGTGAGTTTACGGGTGAATGTGTGAGTGGAGGGCGAAGGGCAGTGAGTGAGGTGGAACCAGGGCATCTCGAATCAAACATCTAAGTCGTTCCTTCCAACTTTGTTTGCCCGAATTCTTCAATATTTTCTCGAATGATTCGTTTTTCCGTGGCCGTGGTGGGAGTGGTGGATGTGAACGTGCCTGTGGAGTTGGAGGTAGACGCCATGCGGCTCACACAGGCGCTGCAAGAGCTCGTAGGCGAGACTCACACGTTAGTTCACAGTTGTCACTCGATCGATACTCTTAGCGCTCACAGGTGAGCTGGCTATCTCCCTTTTTGCTTGACGTTCACCTTTTCCAATGCTCTTTGAAATTTTCGATTCCATCCATCAAAGCTTGCTTACGATTCCATCCATCAAAGCTTGCTTACACCAGATACCAACTTACGCCATCCATCCATATTATTACTTCGCAAAAACACGTTCCGCGGTTTCTCATTTGTCAACCCGTTTCTAACATGCTCTCTCTCCCCTGCCATGCTCCCTGTTCCAGACAACGGAGGGCCATATGCTGCTCCGAGTGGCCGTGTGCCCCGCCTCCACCCCTCTAGAGGACGCCCTTTACCACATCAGTCAGTTCTCTCCGTCCCCTCTAGTTCTCCCTCCCTTGTTTGTGCTTCCTCCTCTCTTGGGTCCTCTCAACCCTACTCCCTCTCCTAAGGCACCTCTAAGCCACGTGCTGCTGCGCGTGGCTGTGTGCCATGCCTCCACCCCTCTAGAGTGCGGAGATTCACTCTACAACGGTGGGAGCTAGACTATGGGTTAGGCACGAGTTGTGTGAGTGATCGCAGCGTTCGTTAGTGTTCTCTCTACTTGCGCATTCACAACGAGAATTGATAGGAGTTTCAGTAGAGAAAGTTCAGCACAATGATAGCAACAACAATGACAACAATGACTACATCAGATGCAAGTTTGCCAAGCACACCGGCAGGTCGACCTCCAGCGCAGCAACGTCGGCGACCTGCCAGCCCTGCAAGTCCGCACCGCTCCAGCGCTGCACAATGGCGACTTGCCAACGTAGCAAGTCGGCGGCTTGCCAGCGCTGCAGCAAGGCGGCCGTCAAGTGTTGCACGCGCAGGTGACAGCAGCGCACATGCTCGAACCTACTTTGCTGGTGTTTGCAGACGGTTGGTGCGACGTGCACCGTCACGTGCACGGCGCAGGTGCAAAGTCTGCCACGTGCCGTTGACCACTCCTGATGAGCCACGTTGACCTCGGGATACCACTCCAAGGTCGGCTTCGCCAGAACCTCTTAGGCGATGGTCGCGCACCCCCGCACAACTTGGTCGGCCACGTGCTCGTCGATCACCCAGGTCGACGGTCACCCGCCGACTTCACCAAGTCGGTCACTTTACAGATCGACGAAAGCCTTCGTCGACCACACCAGTTGTCCGCCGACCCCTCCAAGTCGGCGTCGACTTGGGCGGTAGGAGCTCGCCAACTGCTGTACGTGGTAGTCGACCACCCAGGTCGACGACCACCCGCCGGCTTAAGAAGTCGGCGTCACCAGGTCGGCCCCCACAAGTCTCTTCGTCGACCACCGGGTTGAAGTCGTCCGCCGGCTTCCTGTCGTCGGCGGCTTCGCAGTGGCCCCGTGCAGGTCGACCAACTCCGTCGACCTGCTCGCCTAAGACGCCATCGTCCTCTGCAGACAGTCGGCTGAAGTCGGCTCCGCCCAAGCAAGGACGGGGCTAACTCCCGTTAACATAGAGGACGCCCTCGTCCATATCAGTCACTGCTCTCCCTCCTTAGTGCCCCCTCCTCTCTCTTGGGTCCCCTCAGTCCTCCCCTTTCCCCCAAGGCGCGTCAAATCCACGTGCTACTGCGAGTGGTTGTGTGCCCTGCCTCCACACCTCTAGAGGACGCCCTCCTCCATATCATTCAGTGCTCTCCCTCCCTCACTCCTCTCTCCCTTCCCCACATGCACGGTGCGGGTTGCTCCTTCCGCTTCTGGTGCTCCTCCTACCTTGCACAATTTATAGTCGTCCGCACATTCTCTTGTTCCGTCATCGTTGCTGCTCCATGCCATGCGTCTCCAGTAATGTTCCTCATGCTTCGAGTTAACGAAGGAGTTGTTCTAAAGCCAACCCCTGCTCTTCCATGCCTCTCCACCCCTGTTTCTCCGTCTTCTCTCCTGTAGACGCGTCAGATGCGCCCATCCAGCCGTCCCCTCCTCCAAGCCCCTCTTTCTTCACCCGAGCCACGTGCTTTGCCACCAGCCTCACAACACGCTTCACTCAGAATCTCTTAAAACCCTGGACTAAACCAGATGCAGCAGCACAGAGTGCAGCATTTGAAGGGCAAGCAGCAGGCGAAATGCTGGGGGAGGAGGAGCGGGTGAGGGAGGGTCGTGGAGGGGAGGGGGGAAGTGAGGGGTCTCAGGATGGTAGTGGATGGAGAGAGGGTGGGGAGGAGGAGGGTGTGCAGGTGGCGTGTGGGGATTCTCAAGAGCCTCTTGCAGCAGGGGAAGGGGAGGCCATACAGCTGGTGGTGGCGTGTGAGGATACGGGGTGCGGCTTTGATGCATCTTTTCAACAATACCTTTTCCAGTTCAAGGTACGTTCGAGGCAGGCAGAGACCGGCTGGATTAGGATGTGCGACAGTGGGTGGGACTTTCTCAAGAATCTCCCACACATGGTGGGGTGGGGAGCGCATGCACCTGGTGGTGGCGTGTGAGGATACCGGGCTTTGATGCGGCCTTACAACAATACCTTCTCCAGTTCAAGGTGAGAGGCATGACCGGTGACTCGCCTCAAAACACACCTGGTGGTAGCGTGTGAGGGTACGGGCTGAGGATTCGATTCGACCTTTCAAGAAGGCCTTTTCGCGTTCAAGGTGGGTGTTTGCATTTTATGAGGCTCACATATGGTGCGTATGTTCCAACAAAGAACCATACCGCTACAAATACATGGACGTCATATGTGTGTGTGTCTGTGTGTGTGGGTTGTGGTACCGAATTTTTTGGTTCAGCTGCCTCACAAATGATCTTGTGTCATCTTGGTGCCTGGCTGGCATTATGTGGATCATGCAGGGACGGAAAGAGAGTGGAGGAGCAGGGATGGGACTTGCTCTCACGCACCAACTGGTGAGAGCTTCGCTTGATTCATTTGCAAATCTCCTGCTGCCTCTGTCCTATCCATTCTACTCTCCCCACTGCTTCTCGCTCAATTCTCACACCATTTGTCAAGTCCCCCCCATGTTATGAAATATGGTAAACAGCAATTGTGTGCCCTCAAGGGTAGAGGTGACCCTCATGGGTGGGGTCATGTGGCCTGTCTGTCTCATCTGCACCCCTTGTGCTTGTTTTTCATTCAACCCAATCACTGCATGCTTGCTTCTCCCCACCTTCCCTCCCCCCCGTTCTCCTCCCTTTTTCTCTGTCCAGGTGGCCCTCATGGGCGGGCATGTGGCCTGCCTATCTCATCCAGGCATCGGCTCAACCTTCGCCTTCTCCCTCCCCTTCTCCTCGCCCCCCTCCTCCCCGTCCCCACCCGCCCCTCCCACTGCCACTACTCACCCTCTTACTCTTCTCAATTACATTACTCACCCTCCTACTCTTCTCAATTACATTACTCACCCTCCTACTCTTCTCAATTACATTACTCACCCTCCTACTCTTCTCAATTACATTACTCACCCTCCTACTCTTCTCAATTACATTACTCACCCTCCTACTCTTCTCAATTACATTACTCACCCTCCTACTCTTCTCAATTACATTACTCACCCTCGTGCTCCTGACACCCCCAGCACTCATACTGCTTGTACTCTCGAACAAGAGGAAGCGAGGGGAGGGGTGGAGAGGGAGGAGAGGGAGGAAAGGGAGGAGGGGGGGGCAGATGAGATTGGCTCGCAGGATATGTGGGGCTGTGGTGCAATTCTGCGACATAGGAGCACACTGTATTGCAGGAGCAGCAGGGGAGGAGTGGGTCGGGAGCACCGTTCATTGGCAGAAGGGCGGGGGCAGGTAGAGGAGTGGACGGGGGAGAGGGAGGAGGGGGAGGAGGGGGGGGAGGATGAGGTTGGGGAAGCGGATGAGATTGGGGTGGAGGATGTATGGGGATGTGGGGCCATTTTGGGACGCAGGAGCAGACTGAATGGCAACAGAAGGGGGAACAGGGGGCATGCAAGAAGCATACGGGACTGTAGCAGCAGGGGGGGATTAATGGCAGAGGCACGGGGGCAGGGTGAGGGGCGGAGGGGGGGGAGGGAGGACTGAATGGGGTGTATTCGGGGCTTGGAGGGATTGGCTGTTGGCGTGATGGGGCACGATCTGTCCAGGCGAGAGGTGAGTACGACATCATGTTTGAGTGGACAAAATGATATTGTCTCATCATGTGCGGTTTTGAGTGGGAGGAAGGGATGGGGTGTATGTGGGGCTTGGAGAAAGTGGCTGTTGGCATTGTGGGGAGTGACATGTGCAGGCAAGAGGTGAGTGGAGGGGATGGCATCACACAACCCTTAAGTTGACAAAACAATATTGTGTCATCGTGAGCACATCTGTATGTGTGCCCTATAGTGCCCACGATTTACAGCGTGAGCACATTCTCCATAGTCACACGCGGGGAATGGTTCCCATTATGCTGACTTTTGAGTCGAATCACACATCCTTTTTCCTTCCCCACACCCCTTGCGTTCTCTACTTCTGCATTATAAACACGCCTGCCCCGTCCCCCGTTCTTCCTCCCCCTGTCTCCTTCCTCACTTCACCACACCTTTCCTCATCAACTCACGGCGCGAATCCTATCAGGAATCGGCGCACACGTGCACTTATTGTCACACCCAGCAGCAGGAGCCTCAGAAAGGAATCCTCTGAGTCATAGAGGAGAGGAACTGGGAAGCAGTGATAGGGATTCTGGAGGGGAAGTCTGTGGAGGAAATTCTCTACTGCCTGAGCACTCTTTCAACACGAGTCATGCGGGGGGGACGGTGGGGAGCAGTAGCAGGGAGTCTGGAGGTGGGGCTAGTGGGAGGAAGTTTTTATCATCTCCCTGCCTGTCTCTTACCACGAGTCATGTTGGGGAGACGGTGGAGAGCAGTAACGGGGAGTTTGGAGGGTCGGTGATGAGTTGGTTCGGTGGGAAGAGGAGAAGAGGGGGAGGTGAATGGAGGGGCGGAAGGGAGGACGAGGAGGCGAGGGAGAGTCGGCCTTGGGTGATGGTGGTGGAGGAGGAGGAGGTGTTGAGGCTGCAGAGTGAGGGAGGAGGGGAGGTAGCTTGTGATGGTGCATGGAGGAGGGGAGTAAGGGAGGTAGTTTGTAACGGTGCGGTGTCAGGCAGCTGGGAGGCAGGGGGGTGGTAGGCAGGCATGCAAGCATGGGGGGAGAGAGGGCCTGTGGTGGCAGTGGTGCCCACACTGGCAGGCAGCAGGGAGGCAGCAGCATGGCAGGCAGGCGTGCAAGCGGTGAGAATGATGACAGGGATGGCACGTGGTGCTCTGGCGGTGGGTGTGGTCATTCTAACAGACTGCTGTGGTGAAGAGGCGGTGGGGGATGGGGGTGAAGGGGAGGAGGAGGAAGAGGAAAAGGAGGAGAATGGGGAGGAGAAGAGTGAGGAAGTGGAGGAAGGGGAGGAAAGAGAAGAGGAAGAGGAGGAGGAGGGAGAGGGGGAGGAGAGGAGCGAAGAGGAGAGGAAACATTCGCAAGAGACAGAAGTGCAAAGAGCAATTGCTGCCTCGTCCGCTCACATTGCCTCATCAACTGCGTCTGTTGCCTTCACGTGGGCCTCTGTTGCCATCAGGTGGGCCTCTGTTACCATCAGATGGGCCTCTGTTGCCATCGTGTGAGCCTCAGCTTTTAATCTTCAACCCCCCTATTTGCAGCTCTTAGTTGTTGCCACCTGCCTTGTCCATTCTTCCTTCACTCAAACTGCTCTCTTGCCCTTTCGACTCGGCTCCTTAGCTCTTCTCCTGCCCTCACTCTCACCCATAAATGTCGAATCTTCCTCTTCCTTCTGGCTTCTCTAGACTCGCCTCAAGATTTTCTTGTCTCTTCTCTCTCACTTGAACTCTCACTCACCCTTCACCCACGCACCTCTCCTCCCCCCAGCAAGCCGCATTCGGCCGCACCCACTTCTCTGGGGTAGAGGCAAGGCCGGATGACACGGAGCATGTTTTGAGTCGACTCAAGGCAAGGCCGGATGACACGGAGCATGTTTTGAGTCGACTCAAGGCAAGGCCGGATGACACGGAGCATGTTTTGAGTCAACTCAAGGCAAGGCCGGATGACACGGAGCAAGGCGGGCATGAAGATTTTCTCTCTGATGCGCCTTCAGAAAAGGAGCTGGCTAGTTTTGGGGAGTGTGAGGCAAAGGATAAGGGTGCAGAGGTGTTGGGAAGAGGCTTGGGTGCTGGTTCTAGCAGGTGCATAGGGCGCACAGTACCAAGTGATGATTCCAGCAGTGGAAGCAACAGTGCCAGCAGTAGAAGAGGAAACGAGGCTGTAGACGACACTGGGAGGCCTGAAACAGCAGCATCAGCAGGAGCAAAACAGCAGCAGCTGCTGCACCGGCTGCTGCCTCCCTGTCAGGCGGGGAAGTGCAGTGAAGGCATAGGTCGCTGCCGGGCAAGGGGTCGAGTGCGGTGCACCAGGGTGCGGGGGTGCTGCAGAGGGTGGGTGTGCAGGCAGGCAAGCGGTTGAGTGCTGTGCAGCAGGGTGGGGGGGTGCTAGGGGGGGTGCGCGTGCTGGTGGTGGACGATGCGGCGGTGAATCTGCTGGTGGCGCGCCACACTCTCACTCGCAGCGGCGCCACCATCGCCACCGCAGGCAGCAGGGAGGAGGTGCTGCGGCGAGTCAAGCAGCATGCCCTGAGTCTGGGGGGTTGTGCACAGCCCGCGGATGGGCATGTGGATGTGGTGCTCATGGACCTGCAGATGCCCCTCATGGATGGGTGAGTGTTGGATGGGCATGGGTGGATGGTGGTTTGGAGGGGAGGAGGTGCAATGATTAAGTGGCATGGGCATGTGGTGCTCATGGACCTGCATATGCCCCTCATGGACGGGTGAGTTGTGGGCGGTGGGTCGTTTGGGATTATGAATGTGAGAGATAGAAAGCTGAGCATTACACGCAGTGCACGAAACGTGCACATTGCCCGCATGGACATGTGCACATGCCCCTCATGGACGGGTGAGTCGCTCGTGTTGACGGGTGAGTGTGCGCATGGGCGGGTGAGTCATGTGAATGCATGGGTGGATATTTACAAATCACTTCGACTGCCTCTCGTGTCTCCCCCAGTTTCGTGCTTCTGCCATGCCTCAACCCTGCCATGCCTCAACCCCGCCATGCCTCAACCCTCGTTCTCCCCTCTGCCACTTCTGTCCGTTCCTCGCTGCAATCCCCCCCAGGTTCGTAGCCACAGAGGCCATACAAGCACACGAACGAGCCCTGCTGCTTCATCCCACATTCCCAACAGAAGCTGCAGACAGAACAGCAACAGAACACACACAATCAAGCCCGCAAGGTTCAGAAGCCCCCACCATCCCTCGGGGCACAATCAGGCATGCAAAGCTCCTCGTAGTGGCGCTGACAGCAGGGTGACGAGGTGACTCGGCGCTGCCTCGCAAGTGGCTTTGATGACATTCTGTAGAAGCCTGTCGACCCGAAGCTGCTCTCGCAGCTGCTGCTGCAGCTCGGATTGCCGAGGCTGTGCGCGGCGGGTCTAGGCCAGAGCAGTTCGTTCGCATCTCCCACTGCTGATGTGGAACATGTGTTACGTGTGCCGCTAAGAGCGGTCGGTGTATATTTGTAAATCTGTGTTTATCACATTACATAAAGGTTATAAGGGCATGGTTACAAGCTGTGAAGAGTGTTATGGGTTGTCAAACAGAGTGTGCGGGAAAACAAATAACAAAGCAGTGATTAGATGAACTGACAATATAATGAAGGGCAGGGCAACTATAAGGTCCTATCATTATGTGACTATGGGTCATGTGTATAGAATTTGTTCACTTCAGTAAACAAATCGCATGGGCCACATGGCTACGTGCGGGATTACGTATATCAGGTAGGGTGTGAGGTGGCAGCGCACTCACACGTGGAGGAGTCGGACTTGACAGTTCAAGTCGCGGCCGACGTGGTGTACCCTGGCAGCGCGAGGCCGTCAAAGGTTTCACAGCAATTCGGGCTCGAGGCGCCCTGTAAATCTGCCACTCTACAGTCACTACCGAGATGCTGGTGTGACTGTCCGTACTCCGTGGAACATTTGCCCGTAAAAACATTCAATGGCTTCTCATTGCAATCAATCTGGGCAGTATTACTTGTAAAACAGAGTAGCTGTGAATACTGGATGGCTGGAAACTTGGCTGGAAAGTCTTAGCAGGGCTACTGGAATTGACTGGATGAGGTAAAACTTCACTATGTTCAAGATTAACAAGCCCACTAAAGCACAACTCTATAGGCATCACAAACAAGACAGATTGAAAGCTCAAACTAGGCTGATAGACAATGTAACTTCCCTGGTAACTTGGGCACAATCTAGATTGGATGGACCTTGAGTGAGTTTGAGTGCCACATGAGGTGGATGAATAAGAAAACTCTGGATATTTCTGTTATAGCTGATTCTGATGTGTAGAAACCTGTAGAAACTGCCAACACTTCGGTTTGAAGGCAGCTTTGAACTGTATCGAGTCTTCGGCTGAAATCTGATTGGTGGCGGAACTTTCGAAGTACTTCCCGAAGCCTCTGATTCATCGCCGACATTCCCCCTTGCTGCTGCTTGTGTGCAAAGGGCTGGGGCGGCAGAAACTCGATTCTCCAACACTCCCCCTCGCACCGGACCTGAAGCACACATACACCCATGCTGATGCTCCTCTCAGCATACACTTCATGCTGCTGCCCACGTCTCTTCTCCTCACACTCCTCATTCTCCTCAAACTGCTCCATTGCTTCATGAAGTGTCATGAGGCCTGCTCTTGCCTTGCACATGTTGAATGCATCATGTGGAAGAACCTTGGTCATGAAATCTGCTGCTTGATCGAATGAACGGCAAAAGTTGACGGCGAGAACTCCCTTTTCTATTTGCTCACGGATGAAATGGTACTGCACCTCGATGTGTTTTGTACGGCCATGATGAACCGGGTTCTTGGATAGGGCGATGGCTGAAGTGTTGTCCACGTAGAGCGGAGTCGGTTGAGTTTGCGGCTGCCTCAAGTCCTCCATGAGTCCACGTAACCAGATTGCCTCCCTTGCTCCTTCGGTCATTGCCATGTACTCAGCTTCGGTAGTAGACAGCGCCACACAACTTTGCTTGCGTGATTGCCAAGAAACAGCGGCACCGCACATGAGGAAGATGTAGCCGCCGGTGGACTTGCGTGTGCTCAATTCTCCCGCCCAATTTGCATCGGTGAAGCCTTGGAGGGAGCATGCATGTGGGCTGGCTTGGAAGAGAAGACCAAGATTAGAAGTACCTTTGAGATACCTAAGAGCTCGCTTGGCTGCATGCATATGGATGGGTGATGGGGCACTCATGTGTTGAGCTAGCTTGGATACCGTGAATGCTAAGTCAGGCCTTGTACATAGGGCTGCATACATCAGACACCCAACCTGACTTTGGTAGAGTGCTAGATCTTGTGGAGATACCTTGGGTGAATTCTCACCATGATGCTCACTCTCCTCAAGACGCAACTGCTCAATACCCGTGATGTCAAGGTTTAACTCTCTCTCCTCATAGAGCTGATGCGAAGACAAAGGGACAAAGTTGGAAAGAAGCGGGGTAGGTGATGGCTTGCTATCATCAAGACCAAACCTCTCAAGGACCTTTTGGATAAACCTTTGCTGAAATAGGAAGATGGACCGTGAATTATGATCTCTCACAATGTTCATACCAAGATAATGACTCGGCTCACCAAGATCGGTCATTGTGAATGCACTCATGAGAATACCTTTCACCTTGTTGAGGAGATCAAGAGAACCTGAGACTAGGAGGAGATCATCGACATATACCAAGAGCCAAATGTACTCCCCCTCATTCGTGTGCATGAAGTACAACGCGTTGTCTCTCATGGACCTTGTGAAACCGTGCTTGAAGAGTACCTTCTCAAGAGCATGATACCATACCCGTGGGGACTGTTTGAGACCATAAAGTGACTTTACCAAGCGACAAACTCGACCCGCACCATCATCATAACCTTCGGGTTGTGCCATGTATACCTCTTCTTCCAAGACACCGTAGAGAAATGCGTTCTTGACATCCATTTGATGGATATGGAGACCAAGATATGCGGCTATGGCGAGGAGAACTCGTACCGTGGTGTACTTGGCTACCGCGGCAAAGGTTTCGGTGAAGTCAAGACCTGGAATTTGGGAGTAACCTTTTGCCACTAACCTTGCCTTGTACCTATCAAGGCTACCATCACCTTTTACCTTAATCTTGTACACCCATTTGACACCAATGACCTTCTTCCCTGGAGGTGGCTCAACAAGACGCCATGTACCTCGCTTCATGAGACTCTCAATCTCTTCTTCCTCGGCCTTCAACCAATGCTCTCTCTCAGGACTTGTCATTGCCTCACGACGACTCAATGGCTCTCGTGGATGGTGTGAGGCTGCCATGCATATTGCTTCTACCTTCTTGTGAATGCAATTCTCGCTCTCCTCACATGTGCACCTTGATGACATGTCGACCATGAATGTGAAGGGATTTTTTACCTTGCGGACTCGTTTACCTTTACCATACTCCTCACTTGGCTGAGACACATCAGTGGTAGGGTTCGGTCTCACAGTGTTTGGGTGTGTTGGTACGGTCATTTGCGGCTGAGACAATGGCTGCGACAACGGCTGCGACGGCGGCACGGCTGCATGATGTTCTCTCGGCGTGAAACTCTCTCGATTATCGGTGTCGACTTGAAGAATAGGTGTGGTGACTAGTGGCGGTGAAGCTGAAGCGTTCGTCAGCATAGTTGGTTGTGAAGATGCTCGTGGTGGGGATCTTGAGACTAGAAGCTTGGGGATTGATGATGACGCTGCGTTGTCGAAAGTTGGAGATGTTTGGGTCTGATTGGTGTTGGTTCTCGGTGTTGAAGATGACGGTAGTTGATGACGGCCGATTCCGGGACGTGGGGGTGAAGTTGAGAAGGGCCTTGGATGAAGAAGTGGGCTATTGGAGCTGGTATTTGTGGTGACTCGCTGAAGAGATCCTCGTGCTATGAGCTGGCTTGACGTTGGAACCTGAAGTGATGAACGGGTGGAACGAGGTGTGGTGGTGACGGCTGGCTTGTTGATAGGAAGAGTCGTAGATGGTGCTGATGTAGGTACTTGGAGTCTTGTAGCTGTAGGTTGCTGCTACATCGGATGATGGTGAGCTTCTGTAGTTGCCTCTGGAGTGACGGCTGGTGATGGGTCTGATGGTGTAGTGGTGGGCTGATCCGGTTGACGTTGAACTTGCGGGGTTAGTGTTGAAGTAGCTGGCTGGTTGGTGACGGTTGGCTGCTACTCCTTTGGCGGTGATGGAACGGTGACTTCCTGGGGTGGATGGTCTTCATTTGATGGCTGGACCACATCTCCACTTGGTTGAGTAGCTGCTGGTGGCACTGGTGTGGCGCGGCTGGTCTCGTTGACGACGGCTTGCGGGAGATTGATGATGGGTCCGCTATGGTCAGAATCGATGTCATCTTCTTCCTCCTCTTGTATTGTTTCCTCAGGTGCGCTTGCTGGCTCCTGTTGGATAGAGGGTAGAGAGGAGGAAGAGGAAAACTTATGCCAACCTGCAAGGGACATGTCTTCATAGAAGACAACATCCCTTGAAACCACTTCTCGCTTGGTGACAGGATCCCAAAGGACCCATCCCTTGCTCTCATTGCTCATGCCGATGAAGAGGCCCCAATGAGCTTTGCTGTCCAGGTGGCGTCTCTTTGCATCTGGAACACGGTATTGGGCCATGGAACCAAAAACACGAAGCATAGACAGATCTGGTTTAACTCCAAACCAAGCCTCATATGGCGTTATACCTTCCGGTAGGGGCCTTGTGGGTCTCCTGTTGCGAACATAAATTGCCATAGTGATTGCCTCACCCCACCAGAGCTTGTCAAGGCCTTTAAACCGAAGAAAAGTGGTAGCTATAGCTTGAATAGTGCTATGAAACCTCTCTGCCACTCCGTTTTGCTGTGGGTTATAGGGACAAGTAAACTGTTGTTTGATGCCCAATGCCAACAACTCCCCCTGAAACGCTTTCCCCATGTACTCACCTCCTCGGTCCGACCTCAAGGTGAGTAACTTCTTCCCTGACTCTCTCTCAACAAGTGCTAGCCATTGCTTGAAACACTTGTGAACTTCATCCTTGGTGTTGATGAAAAAGAACCACGAGAAACGACTCTTGTCATCAATGAAAGACACCAAATATCTCTTACCGTTTCGAGTAGGGTCTCGCATGGGGCCGAAGACATCAGTGTGGACCAACTCTAGGAGGTCCCTTGACTGAGACTTAGAAGGGAAGAATGGCTTTCTAGCTAGCTTACCTTCCACACAAGATGGACATGGAACGGAAGAAAGGGACTTGACTGCACTTTCACTCAAACTCAATCCTTCCACGCTCTTGTGTTTTACCAACTCTTTCAATGCTTGCACTCCCACGTGCCCCAAGCGTGCATGCCATACCTCAGCTTGGGAGATACTCCCTTTGTTGTTGACTTGATCGGTTGAAACAGCGGGAAGCGAGACAACGTCGTTCTTCGTGTTGCTAGCACTGCGCTTAATCTCCAACTTCATCTTGTAGAGCCGCCCGGTACGCTCGCCTTCAGCCACCAGATTTCCTGCACTATCCCACACTTTGGCTTTCCCCCCTTGCAAGAGAACAGAGGCACCTTTCTCTTCGAGTTGTCCGGCTGAGAGCAAGTTTGCTCCCAAATCAGGAACAAACAAAGCTTTATTGACACAAAAGCATATTCTCCTTTGTTTAGAATTGTAATTACTTTAGAACCGTACATGAGATCCACTTCTCATACGGCTCCTTTAGAACGTATCTTAGAAAGTTCTTTTGAAACTTCTTCTAATCAACTGGTAGATAGGTAAGAAAAAATAATATCAAGAAAATGAAATAATTTATATTTTTGAAATAACAGGAAAGGTAATATGGCGGATTCTTATTTAAAGAATGCTTCTCAAATGCAAGGTCGATTATCTGCTTGGCTAGCTACTCATGGACTCGCTCATAGACCTCTTGGGTTTGATTATCAGTTTTGAACTAGTTGATAACGAGAAAAGTGTAGGGGTTGATATAACAGAAACCACTAATCTTCCTCTTATTGCTTTACTCGATATAGGAATTATATTAGGTTCTTTAGGAATTGTTTTTTTAAGAAAAAATATATATTCTGCTTTGTTATTAGGTTTTGAACCATCCTTTTCGAACTCAAGCTTGCCGACTCCTTTGATAGGTACTTTGCCAGGATCAGCAAGAGTCACAGCTTTTGAGTCATATGAGGGCTGAAAATCCTTGAGAATGGACTGATAGGGAGTCATGGTTTCAGAGCAGCCACTATCAAGAATAAAATCCTCACTACTAGTAGAGAAAACGTGCATGCAAGTAGCAGCGTTAAAAAGGACAGGACCATCGAACTCTTTGGACTCATCTTGACTTGTAGAATGACTTGCTATATTTGCTATGGCTGCCTTACCTTTTTCAGATAGTAGCTGAGGTGGGGGGACCCAATTAGGAGGCTTCTTAGGACAAGCATACCACGGGTGACCCCACTCATGACAACAAAAACACTCAAAATTAAACTTTTTAGCATTCGGGGCTTGGCTGAAATTATTGACTCTTGGCGTATTGACTCTTGCATTCCTAGGCTGGTATTGATTGGGAATCGAAGGCCTTGGCTGGACATAGGGACTGGACTTATAGGGAGGACTTGACTGAGGAAAACGAGAGGGTTTGTATGGGTTGGGAGGTGACTGAAATTTCGTACCGTAGTAGGGTTGAGGGCGGTTTGGGGTGAAACTTTCTTGCCTCTGGAATTGGTTGCCATATCTTGTAGCTGCTGCAGCACTCCACGCACCTTCGTCACTCCGCTTGTTTCGTGCAAGGTCTCGACTTTGCTGCTCGTTGACAAGGGCTTCGAATATGAACGCACGACTCTTCATTGACTGTGGGAGCGCTTGTAGTGTTGCACGGAAAGTGTCCCACTCCGGTGTAAGGCCGGTGAGGATGACGATCTTGAAAAGAGACTCTGGAATCTCCAAGCCGATCGCTGCTGCTTCCTCCAGCATTGTTTCAGCTCGTTGTAGGTAGGCTTGTGCTGATTCATCTTCTTCCATCTTCAGATTCATGAAGCGGCTCCACATCTCGGCTTGGCTGCTCTCGGATTTTGACTGGTGCATAGACTTCAGTTGGCTCCATGCTTCCTCTGCACTGTTTGCCTTGGTAGAACAGGGCAGGAGCGACTTCAACTGCTGCTCGTGAATGCTATTGAGTAGGTAGAGGAAGGCCTCATTGTTGCGTCGTTCGTAAAGTCGTTTTTCAGCTCCTGAAGCATCTGCTGCTGGTTTGGCTGCTTCTCCAGTATAGTAAGGCCACAGATCCAGAAGGGATGCAGTGAGCTCAAACTGAGTTGCCCATGTTGGAAAATCTTTGCCGTTGAACTTGGGAAGGTGAAGCTTAGGCATGAAGGAGGTGAGTGGTGAGTATGCTGTTGAAGAACCTCCTGGTGCAACTGCTTCCAATAAACCTGTAGCTGCTGAGGTTGACTCTGAAGCTCCTCCGGCTGACTGAAGTGCAGTGCCAGACGGATTGTCTCCCGCCATGCTCGTATTATGCCAGGATAGGAACGTGGTGGACTCGGTTGATCGAAACGACGAGCTCTGATACCAACTTGTAAAACAGAGTAGCTGTGAATACTGGATGGCTGGAAACTTGGCTGGAAAGTCTTAGCAGGGCTACTGGAATTGACTGGATGAGGTAAAACTTCACTATGTTCAAGATTAACAAGCCCACTAAAGCACAACTCTATAGGCATCACAAACAAGACAGATTGAAAGCTCAAACTAGGCTGATAGACAATGTAACTTCCCTGGTAACTTGGGCACAATCTAGATTGGATGGACCTTGAGTGACTTTGAGTGCCACATGAGGTGCATGAATAAGAAAACTCTGGATATTTCTGTTATAGCTGATTCTGATGTGTAGAAACCTGTAGAAACTGCCAACACTTCGGTTTGAAGGCAGCTTTGAACTGTATCGAGTCTTCGGCTGAAATCTGATTGGTGGCGGAACTTTCGAAGTACTTCCCGAAGCCTCTGATTCATCGCCGACATTCCCCCTTGCTGCTGCTTGTGTGCAAAGGGCTGGGGCGGCAGAAACTCGATTCTCCAACAGTATTGACTGTACCTAGGTATGGTTAGGATGCGTCACCTCTCTGAAATTTTGCCGATCGAGCCTGAGTTGGTTCGGTGTTTTGATTTTACAGTGTTTTGGCGACGTCGCCAAGAGCTGGTTTCCTGAATTAGCGCGCTTTCGCAAGTTTACAGTAAACTGGTCAGCAAGATGCTGTCACCTCTGGCTCGCGCGATCGATGTACCGGACATCAAACATATATTTTCGAACCTGTAACCCCTGGCTCGGTGTGCCTAAGTGTTGCGAATCTGCTGTGTGGAAACACTGGTGTTAAGATCGATCGTGCAAACACCGGTGTTAGCATCCGAACCTGCAATTTTACAAAGAGGTGACGCGTCCTTAGGCTACCACTCCAACAGACACAACATGAACAGCGGTGTGAACAGCGATGCCTTTCAGATCGAAGAGCAGCGGCCCTTGCTAGAAGCTCAGTCTCTTGGAGGCGCCTTAGTGCAAGCTTTGAGAGCAATGAGTTTCGAGATTTCTAAAAATTAGAAGCTGTACGTTAGAGGCGCATCAAAGGAAGCCTTGATTAGACTTTTGAGTCGACTCAAGAGTTTTGAGATGTCGCAAAATTAGAAGCTGTATGTAGAGGCGCATCAAAGGAGCCTTGAGAGCAGCAGCCATCGTTCGCTGCGCTCAGCTCGCTTGTTTCTCTGAGCCGCCGGAACCGTCCTACGGAACCAGACAGGGACTGCTGGTACGCACTGTACGCCTAGCATGCATCACCGCTCCTCAACGTAGCGCTCTACCAGGCTACTATCCTTCAACAGAGAATTAGTACTTTTGAGTCGACTCAAAAATCGACTTATCACCGAGAAGTAGTAATTCTCGATTCTGCCGTGAAGTAACCCATTCTACTCTGGGACTGGGCCAATGTGCGGCAATTATAGTCGGGACGATTCAAAACACTTCTGCGTAGAACTCCCCTAGGACCGCAACGCCTCGTCTAATCATCTATCGTGCAATGATGTGCGGCAAGGATCGCAACACCCCCGCATTGTGCGGCAAGGATCGCAACGCCGCCGCATTGTGCGGCCTCATTATTCACGGAAGGTCCCTTGCTGCTGCCACCACGCTGCGGCCTTCTTCTTCTCAGCTCGCTCGCCGCCCGTCGCGCATCGTCGCAATGGCTATTATTGACGCGCCTCAAAAGTCAGCGTTTTGCGCTGTTTCCCGCCGCCAATGGCTATTGTCCCATACAGATGACGCGGGCTCTCCACCACCAATAGGTCCACCAGCGGCCACTGTTGCCGAGCCTTTTGAGGCGTCTCAAAAATCTTTCATCGTTTTGTGCTGTTCCTGCCGCCCATGGCTATTGTCCCATTGCGCTCTTTCTGCAGACGACAAGGGCTCTCCACCACCAGAAGGTCCACCGGCAGCCACTGTTGCCGAGCCGGATTTGAAGCTAGGTGCTGGTTCGGATTCCAAGCCTGACACCAAGCCTGCCGCCGAGCCTGCTGCTGGGCCTGCCTCTGCAAGCAATTCATCAGTTTGTAAACCGAGTGAGTGACATGAATATCTCTCATTGAAAGGCGACTCTACCATTCCTTATCCGCCATCCTCCTTCTGGCACTAACTTGCTTGCTCTCTCTGATGCTATCCTCTTTCCATCCATCCAAGCAATGTTCTAATCGATCTGTTACCTCCCTCCGTCCCTCCCTCCTTCTGCCCATTTCCGCCTTTCTGCCCTTCCCTGCAGCGGTTTATCCCCTTCCCCAGGAGACACCCCCTGACTGCCCCTGTGGCCGCAAGGCTCATGCCATATCTCTTGCAGTCATGTTTTAAGCAGTGCGTTTTGCCTCCCTCCTTCCGACCATCCTCCTCCTTCCACCCCCCTTCTCCCTTCCGCCCCTTTTCCCAGACGACACCCCCTCCCCCCCCATGGGTCTGTCCCAGCAATAACGTTCACTTAGCCAATGCATGTACCTTCCCCCTTCCACCCCCCTGCTCCCTGCCGCCCCTTCCTCACTCAGACGACACCCCTCGCCCATGGGTCTGCCCCTGCAATTCCTCCTTCAACCCCTCGCCCACCCCATCACCTGACAAATCCATCCCCGCTATAGACCTCTTCTATACGGGCGAGTTTGGGTACGAGCTGATAGCAGTCCTGCCGCACGCCTACTGGCACTTCCTCAACGGAACTCTCAGATCCACCAAAACGTGTGGCGTCCCGCTCTCTCTCCTCTACTATTTCAGCCCAAACCACTCCTCAGACCCAGACTGTAAACGCTCCAGCGACCGCAACTGGATTAAACAGTATGGTTTCACCCGGGGGCTTCATCACAGTGACATTCCGCAGTACTGGCATCCTCCCCCGTTAGTGTACAGGACGCGTGAGTTGGGCCGGGTGTGGCTTGATGTTCCTGTAAGGGGGGCTCCGCTTGTGATTATAAGCAACAAGTATGAGACTGAATGGCAGGAACCCCCTGTTAATTTTATTGACGTTCCAACCCTCCTTAACATCACACGTGAGTTTCTCAATAAGGGGTATTACGCGGCCTATAACCGGCCTGGGGATTCGGTAAGGACAGACGTGGAGCAAGCAGACTTGGCTGATTTGGGGGACCATCCGAAGCTGGCTGAGGAGTTTGGTTCGCAGGCTCGGTTCCGAACCATGCAGCAGATCCGCGAGGCTTGGCCGAGCTTAAGTTTCAACGAGGTTCAGTTTCGAATGATGGCCCGAAGCTCCTGTTTTATCAGTGTGCAAGGGGGAACATCCGTGCTGTCTAGCTACTTTGGTGGGAAGAATATTATATTTTTTCGCAAGGGGGGGGAGGGTGCGGGGAGATCATATGAGAGGTTCTATCATAGACTGTCAGGGGCGAAGATAGAGGTGGCTCAGACGTATGAAGTGCTGCAGGAAAGAGTGCAGGATATGATTAGAGAGGAACATTGCCAAGCAGTTTGACTATGATGTGTCATGCCTCTTACATTTAGGTACGTACCACCTTATTCCTGAAGCGCCTCAAGGCTATGATTTGTCCCTTACATACGGTACTAGAGAATATCAGAGCACACAATAATAAAGCTATTACTATAGGAATTTGGCTGAATATTCCCTTTACTCGTCATAGGTCAATAACACGTCAGCGGTTGCAATGACCACGAAGGAGCGCGGACTTTCGAGGTGGATGTGCGGTTTGTCGACGGGGCATGGGCATGGCGAATTTTGAGATGCCATGCCATGCGATTTGCTTCAAATGCCATTCGCGAAAAACGTGAGCATGTACAACGGTAACTTGGTATGTGTCTTGGCTTGGCGGGCTCTGCTCCGCCGCGCTTCTCACTTCCGCCCAGCCATGCTTGAAAATGATTCGCTGCCCGCACCATAACTTCCCCTCACCTCCCCTCTCTCATCTTCATTCCCCCCCCACCCTCCCCGTTCCCACCCTTCCTCCCCCTCCTTCCTCCCCCTCCTTCCTCCCCCCCCTTCCTCCCCCTCCTCCCCTCATTTCTCCCTACTACTGTTCCGTTGCTGTCGCTTGTTGGGAAATGCTGCAGCTGCTGCCACACCCAAAATCCGAATCCCAAATTTCAAGCAGACAGATTTTTGGTGTGAAGCATCGAAGTAGCCATCACATTTGCTTCACTCCGTTTCCTGCTCCGATCCGAAACCCATCTGCTGTTTGCTGCAGGGATCGTCCAGCTCCTTCTCCCCGCAGAACTCGACTTCCAAACCTACATTGTAAAAATTGCCCGTTTTATGGCGCCCTCCCTGTCAGCCTCAGTTTCTCCCGTCGCATTGTCTCGTTCAGTCTCAGGCGCCGCTGCGCATTCATCCTCATTGCACTCGAGTCCAGCCTCCGCCATGGCCTCCTTGCATCATTCCGGTCAACTCGTCCCTCTGCACTCTTGGCGAAAGACCAATCTCAAGCTCGCCACTTCTACTGTTCGCGCGTGTCAGAATACCAAGTCCGCATTTCCAATCTTCGCCTCCACAGCGGCTGTCCCGTGGACCCCGCCTCCCTCCAATTCGTCGAATCTCGGCTCCACGTTGCAATTCCAGCAGCAGCATCAGCACGAATCCACCACACCCATTGTCCATTCCAACGAGCCGGTACCCCCAATGGAGCTCTTTCACCGCGATCCGCAGCATTGGCGGGAAATCATGCTACGGGAGCGGCACCACGAGGACGAGTTGTCCATCGTCTTGGGATTGGATTTTGGCGGGACGGGAATCAAGGGAGCGCCGGTGGACGTGGCGACGGGCACGCTGCTGCTGGAGCGATACCGCATCCCCACGCCCAATCCCGCTACGCCTCAGGCCGTCGCTGACGTCATCAGACAGATCAAGGACCACTTTCGAGTGAGTGCACTTGCCGTCGAATGCTAGCTTGGAAGCATTTTTGTTTTTGGCCATCCCTGCCGCATGGCGTGGTCACTACTTGCGAACATTCAGGTTCTATTGTTTTCCCTTGCTCATTCATTCGTGGCGTTTCTTTGACCTAAACTTCCTTCATTCTTCCCGTCTCCTTCCGAACACCTTGCCAGTGGGATGGACCAATCGGAATTGGCGTTCCGTCTGTCGTCCGACGTGGCATCGTCCGCAGTGCTGCTAACAGTGAGTGCACTCAATAACCAGAATTCGTAAAACAGAATGGAAGCATTCTGAACCGATGAATCATCTTAGGGGAAACGCTGTTATTAACCAGAATAAGGCGAACAGAAATAGAAGAATCCGTGAATAGATGCTCTGTATAAGACCATGGATTCAGCTTTTTCTCATTCTCACTTGTTTCCCCATTCCAACCCCACCACCTCCGGACCAACGTTCGCTCCCCCCCATGCCTCCTCAGTCGACAAGTCGTGGATCAACATCAACGCCGTCGATCTCGTCCAACGCGCCACGGGCTGCCAGGTGGCAGCAATCAACGACGCAGATGCAGCAGGGTTTGCCGAAATGAGGTTCGGCGCCGGCCGGCCCTTGCAGCGGGAAGGCACGGTCCTGATGACCACGTTCGGCACGGGAATAGGCACGGCACTGTTCGTGGGCGGCCATCTGGTGCCGAACCTAGAGATGGGGCACATAGAAGTGAACGGGGAAATTGCCGAGAAGGTGGCATCAGGAGCAGTGAAGGAGAAGTTGGAGATGAGCTGGAAGAAGTGGGCTGGGCGGGTGAACGAGTACCTGGCTCGCATGGAGCATTACCTTCAGCCGGATCTAATTGTAAGTACTAAGTACTGTATCGAGTACAGATTGTACAGAATAGGCGTACTGTTAGTGGTGTGGAGAAGTTGGAGATGAGCTGGAAGAAGTGGGCTGGGCGGGTGAATGAGTATTTGGCGCACATGGAGCATTACCTCCAGCCGGATCTTATAGTGAGTACTAAGTACTGTATCGTGTACAGGTGTACAAAATGGGCGTACTGTTAGTGGTGCGGAGAAGTTGGAGATGAGCTGGAAGAAGTGGGCTGGGCAAGTGAATGAGTATTTGGCGAGCATGGAGCATCGTAAGTGCTTGGTCCTGTATCGTGTACGAAGTGTACAGGGTAGACACTGTCTCAGTGTTAAGGGTACAACGAATATTAGCTGGTGGGGTTGGGGGATGAGTAGCTGTTGCGCGTGAAGCTTACCTTTAGCCGCAATGACTCTAGACAGCAATGCAGGCCGCTGCAACAGGTACAGTAGCAGGTTATCCATAAGAATTTGGCGCCCATGGAGCATACCTCCAGCTCTTAAAGGCCTACTGCATGGACCTTATAGTGAGTATAGGCCTACTGCATGGCCCTTATAGTGAGTATAGGCCTACTGCATGGACCTCATAGTGAGTAAAGGCCTACTGCATGGACCTCATAGTGAGTATAGGCCTACTGCATGGACCTTATAGTGAGTATAGGCCTACTGCAGGGACCTTATAGTGAGTAGAGGCGCACTGCATTGTAGCCTTTCCTCCAGCGTTCATTCAGGGTTGCGTCTCGATGTTTTCAAGCTGACAATATCTATGTGCTGTGTGGTGCTGTGTGGTGCTGTGCCGTTGCTTGCAGGTGATTGGTGGAGGCATCAGCAAGAAAGATGAGAAGGTGAGATGAGGGTCGAGTACGCTAAGCAGAAAGCATACATTTGCCTCGTGTCCTAATTCTATCTGCAATGACTCCCCCGGAGTGCACCCGCTCATTGCTGGACTGGAGCTGATGAGTTGATTCGAATCCTCTTACCCATTAGATCCCCTTTTCCTCTTGGCACGCCCATAGAGGCAGCGGAGATTACTCCAGTCTGCTTGTTTACGTTTCGCACACCCTCCACCCCTTTCCACCCCTTTCCACTCCCCCCACCCCGCAGTTCCTACATCTGCTGTCAGTGCCTGGAGGAACGCCCATAGTGGCGGCGGAGATGCGCAACGAGGCGGGCATTGTGGGGGCGGCTGTGGGCGGGTCCATTCTGCTCGGGGAGCAACGCGCTGCCAGGGAAGCCGCCCGGATCATACCCACCCTGCTCAGCTGATTTGAGTAACTCCGAACGGTACACGTATATGAAATGATCGCGTAGTGCGGCCAGCTGTGAGCAGGTTTATTCTGATGGTGGGGCAGTGGGCGGCCAGGGAAGCCGCCAGGATCACACCCACTCTGCTCAGCAGACAGGGTCCGAAAGGCAATTATACGAAGTGACATGATGCTGGTGCTTCATCAGCGACAATAATCAACCTCAGTTTCGCTGGTGTTTAAGAGTGCTGATGTACGACTGAAGTTACTGGTGCATACCGTATTACTAGGGATGTAGACATGGCGCTATTGAGAAATGACATGTATCCATTGCCAGTTGACATGGGTCTTCACAAACCAGTAAGCTTGTGCCTTAGCACCTAGACTAGGATTTGTGGCCCAGGTTCACAAGCCCCTCATAGGCCTCATCACCTCAAAGAATTATTCAACCTTCAAGAATCACCCTTATTTTCAGCAGCGAGGCAGCAGCGGCACTAACCACAATCTCCCACACAGCCATCGCCGCCCATCACCATCTGGTGCCGTCTTTGGTTCGCAGCACCACACGCACCGGCACGCCGTCAAACCCAAAGTCAGCTGCGAGCCTGGTGGAAAAGAAGCGCGCGAGAGACCGGTCCCCTGCAGCAGCGGCAGTCACACGGACCACAAAGGTGGGCGGCCGTGACTTGACCTGCACAATGCTCTTTACGGAAGCTGCGGTGCACGACCCAGGAAGCTTCCTGAGGGTCTGGTTAGGGAAGGCGAGATAGGGTGGGGAATAAGTGAAGGGGGATGAAGAGGAGTAAGTAAAGCATGCATGCATACTGGGTGCACAATCATTTCCGCACAGGTAGTGCCACAACGCCAATACGAAAGTTGAGGGAAGGTGGGAGTTGCACAGTCACTAACTGGTGCACAGTCACTAACTGGTGCACAGTCACTAACTGGTGCACAGTCACTAACTGGTGCACAGTCACTAACTGGTGCACAGTCACTAACTGGTGCACAGTCACTAACTGGTGCACAGTCACTAACTGGTGCACAGTCACTAACTGGTTAACAGTCACTAACTGGTGCACAGTCACTAACTGGTGCACAGTCACTAACTGGTGCACAGTCATTTTCTGCACGCTGTCCTTGATGACGGGAATGGAGCTGGGATGGATGCCCAGCACATTTCATGCAGGCTTCAGCGGACACACGGAATGGAGATTGAAACAATCTAGGGATCAGTACAACCTGTAACATGTCACTTGTGAGAATTCTCACAACCTGTCACTTGCGATAGGTAGCATGTCACTAGTGAGACGTCTCAATGTAGAACGCGTAACCTATCTCTTCCAGCACAACTGCAGTCGCCAGTGCTTCAGCCGGGCAGCAGGCAGGCAGCATGGTGTTACAGCGGTTGTACACATCTGATACCGCCTGCATGCATGCATCAACTCCTTGCCTCCCATTCTTTGTCACCAGGCACCTCAATAGCAAGCAACTACACTCTCACCTGCGGCAGCCAGTGTTTCAGCCGGGCAGCATGCAGCATGGTGTTCCACCGGTCGTACGCATCTGAAACAGCCTGCATGAGCTCCTTGCCTCCCTCCCCGTGCAGCGCTGACGTGAACACTATGGGCACGTTGTGCACCTGACAGGGGGGAAAGAGGAAGGGAAGGGAAAGCGTGCATGAATGCAATGGTTCACAAAACGAAAGGAAAGAAGAGGAGAGGAGAGGAGAGGAGAGGAGAGGAGAGGAGAGGAGAGGAGAGGAGAGGAGAGGAGAGGAGAGGAGAGGAGAGGAGAGGAGAGGAGAGGAGAGGAGAGGAGAGGAGAGGAGAGGAGAGGAGAGGAGAGGAGAGGAGAGGAGAGGAGAGGAGAGGAGAGGAGAGGAGAGGAGAGGAGAGGAGACGAGACGAGACGAGACGAGACGAGACGAGACGAGACGAGACGAGACGAGACGAGACGAGACGAGACGAGACGAGACGAGACGAGACGAGACGAGACGAGACGAGACGAGACGAGACGAGACGAGACGAGACGAGACGAGAGGAGGTGAGAGGAGGAATAGGGGAAGGCACAGCGGCGAGTGAGAGGTGGGGTAGAGGGTGAGAGAGCCAGGTGGAGGGGGCCGAACCCTGCGGAAGCAGGGCAGCAATCTCCACAGACACTGTCCGCCTGGCCTTCTTCCTCACTCACTGCTTGTCCCCTTAGACGTGCACCCACTAGGAGCAGCAGTCCAGCAGCAATCCTTCACTCACCCACCTGGGGCAGCAGTGCAGCGATCTCCAAAGGCACGGCCCGCCTGACCTTCTTGCGCACCCACCGCTTGTCCCTGTCAGTCACCCCCCACCGCGTCCATCTTATTGGCCGCCACCACCAACAGGAGCCGCAACAACAGCAGCAACCCAATACAAACAGACTCTCCCTCCTTCACCTACCTGGGGCAGCAGAGCAGCGATCTCCACTGGGACAGCCCGCCTGACCTTCTTGCGCACCCACCGCTTGTCCCTGTCACCCCCCACTGCGTCCATCTTATTGGCCGCCACCACCAGAGCGCGCCCCTCCTCCCACACCCACCGCGCCAGCGACCTCTCTGCTGTTTTTAGCGACTTCTCCTCTTCTGCCACCTGGCAGAACGTAATTGGGTGGAAAAGAAAGGCTTTGATTCTCAGCGAAATTTTATGAAAACTGGGGTCGAAGTGATTTATGATTGAGAGGGAGAGGGAGCAAGAGGGCTCTCTGGCTGGAGGGTTCTAGAACTTGAAGAGTACTTGAAGTGTACTTGAAGTCACATCCATCCACACCGCGCAACGAGGCTGCTTTTGTGGTGGCTCAATAATAGCGGCGTGCAGTGCACCCCACACAAGTAATTACTTACGCAGCCCATGAAGTTCCCCGTGCATGAAGTGAGTGACGGATGCTGCTGCTGCACCGCACTGCACCCTGAACATCGACTCACCACGGCAGCATCCAGCACCAGCACCTGCGCGCGCGTCCAATGCTCCTCTCCATGGCACACACCCAAAGGATGGTTAGTGAATTTCGGATTAACCTACCACAGAACCCTAATTTCGGATTAACCTACCACAGAACCCTAATTTCGGATTAACCTACCACAGAACCCTAATTTCGGATTAACCTACCACAGAACCCTAATTTCGGATTAACCTACCACAGAACCCTAATTTCGGATTAACCTACCACAGAACCCTAATTTCGGATTAACCTACCACAGAACCCTAATTTCGGATTAACCTACCACAGAACCCTAATTTCGGATTAACCTACCACAGAACCCTCATTTCGGATTAACCTACCACAGAACCCTAATTTCGGATTAACCTACCACAGAACCCTAATTTCGGATTAACCTACCACAGAACCCTAATTTCGGATTAACCTACCACAGAACCCTAATTTCGGATTAACCTACCACAGAACCCTAATTTCGGATTAACCTACCACAGAACCCTAATTTCGGATTAACCTACCACAGAACCCTAATTTCGGATTAACCTACCACAGAACCCTAATTTCGGATTAACCTACCACAGAACCCTAATTTCGGATTAACCTACCACAGAACCCTAATTTCGGATTAACCTACCACAGAACCCGCTGCGTCAATTCCTCAACTCACCACAGCAGCATCCAGCACCAGCACCACCACGTGCGCGCGCCCAATGCTCCTCTCCATGTCCATGCGAGCCAGTGACACCGGCCCCTTCTGCCTCGCCTGCGCTGCCTTCACCCACCCCGCCGTGTCCACCTGCCGTGGGGTTCAGAGCAGTTCAGAGGAGTTCAGAAAGAAGTCGTGACACCGGCCCTTGTAGTGAGTCCCAGTTCCATTCCCTGTCAAAATGTGCTGTGTGCCCAGCGCCCCATCCACCCTTGTCATGACCCCCACCCCACCACCCTCTAATCTCACCAGCCACATGGGTTTGCCCTGGTACGTGATGCCAATCAGCACGACATCTCTGTCCCAGTTCCCGTGTGCACACGCTGTGCCCTCCCCTCACCCCCCAACACCACGCCCTCCCCCCCCCTCCCCCTCCTCCCCTTCCTTCTCTCACCAGCCACATGGGCTTGCCCTGGTACGTGATGCCAATCAGCACGACATCTCTGTCCCAGTTCCCGTGTGCACACGCTGTGCCCTCCCCTCACCCCCCAACACCACGCCCTCCTCCCCCCCTCCCCCCCCCCCTCCCCTTCCTTCTCTCACCAGCCACATGGGCTTGCCCTGGTACGTGATGCCAATGCGCACAGCGTCCCTAGTGAGCCCTGGCTCCGGCCCCGTCAGAACGCGCTGAGCCCCCAGCAGCGAGTTGACCAGCGTTGACTTGCCCACGTTCGGCAGACCTGCTATCGCCAGCTGTAGCGGAATCTCTGATGTTTCTGCCGCCTCTGCCGCCTCTGCTGCTGCTGCTGAGGATGATAACAACGCTTGTGCTGCTGCTTCGTCGTCGTCCTCCTCCTCCACCTCCTCCTCCTCTGCTGCAGGTAATGTGGTTATATCAAGAGCCCCAGCGGCATAAGCAGCGTCATCATATAGCGCTGCATCAGAACACTCACTGCTGTCAGGCAACGCCGCAAAATCGCCGGCCCCCTCTGTGCGTTGACTCATCCCTGTGCTGCACCGAACACCACCCACGGGAGCCGTCGGAAGGAGGGAAAGCATCGCATCACACGAGGTTGCCTGAATCTCTTCTGAAGCTCACCCACTTCAAAAGCAGCAGGCAGGGCCAGTCCATCGATCCGCACACCTCAAGCCTCAAGCCTTGAAAGAGAGCTTCTAGTCCTACAACAGCCTCTGATCTTTGAGAAGCCTAAAAAACAAGCCTTGAGAGAGGGCTTCTGGTACTACAATAGCCTTTGATCCGATTGATTGCGTAAGAATACAGATTTGAAGCTCTCACACTCTTGCTCACTGGAGCATCCATAGCCGAACACATGGAAAAAAGCCAATCCCCTCCACCTAAAACAGCCTCATGTGCTCACCTGAAACGGCCATCTTTCTTCCTTCCATATCCTCTCTCCGCTCTCTCATTTCCCTCTGCCTTTCCTCCCTCTCCTCACTCCCCTCCCTCTCCCTCTCCTCCACAGGCCCCTTCACAGCAGCATACAGGTCCTCCAGTCCCTCCCCAGACTCGGCCGATATCGGGATCGGGTCGCCGAACCCCATCGAATAGGCTTCTGCCACGTGGCTGGCCAGCAGGCCTGTGCTGTCGCCGCCCAGCCCCTCGCATTTATTCGCCAGCAGCACCACCCGGTGCTTTGGCACAGAGCGGCGAAGCCAATCAGCAACCTCCACGTCAGCAGGTTGAATGCCAGCTCTAAGGAAAGGTGTTCCAATGAATGATGGTGGGTGGGAGAAAGGGAGGGGGGAGGGAGAAGCGAGAGAGGGAGCGAGAGAAGGAGGAGCGGGGTGTGAGTGAAAGAGAAAGAGCAAGATGAGTGAGCATTGGAGAAGGAGAGCTTGGGGGAAAGGAAAGAGAGCAAGTGAATGAAAGATAAGGAAGGAGGCGGCGGAAAAATGAACCAAAGAGGGGAAGGGGGGGGAAGAGGGTAGTGGAGGGATTTGGGGGTGGTGAAGGGGAGGGCGGGTTGGGGTGGAGGGGAGAGGGAGGGGTGGGGTACATTGGAAAAAGGGAGAGAGAGGGAAAGCTGGACAGAGAATAAAAGAGCAGACTATTGAAGGATCTTGCTGCATGGTATCAGAGCACGACACAGTGCACACACCCACCCACCTGGCATCCACGAGAAACAGCACCGCAGCTGCCTGGCCCAGCAGGTACGACGTAATCTCAGCCGTTCGTTGCAAAATCGACGCCTCCATAGCCGCACGATCCGCCTCTGGTAGATTACCCAACAGGCTTGGAATAAAACCCACAGCCCTACTCCCACCACCACTCTCTCTCCCACTACCCCCATGGCCCTGGTGAGAAGCAGAGGTCCCGGGTTCGAGTCCTGCTGTGTCAAATACTCGAAAGCGGAGCCCAAAGAAGGAGCACACGCCCTCGCGCACGTCTCTAGTCATGTGGCCCTGCGGGGTGTCGCACACCAAAGCCTCCCTGCGCCGCATCAGCCTACAGGGATCAGATGGGTGCGGTGCACGTGCAGGGGGGTGGAGAGAGGTGGAGAGGGGTATGTTTCTGTCAAATCAAGAAACATATGCGGGGTGGCACACACCAATGCCTTACTTGAAAAGATAATGGCACCACCGGTGGGTGTGCAATCACGCTGCTTACTTGTTGAACAAAGCTGACTTGCCAACGTTGGGTCGCCCTACAATCACAACGATCGGACGGCTGTCAGCCATCGCCACAACCGGTATGCTCAGCTCCTCCACCTCTGCTGCTACACCCTCGCTAGTGTCACCCTCCCCATCTCCTCCTGGTCGAATGCCTGAGGCAGTGACCTCGGGATTTGATTGAGCCACGCCAGCACCGTGCGAGGTCGAGAAAAGCCTCGTCAAGGTGTGCGCCGGCGGGGAGACGGAACCCCCATGACCCCCATGACCACCATAATCCCGTTGACCACAACGGCCAATCGAGTAACTTGCTCTAAACGCGAGGCTACTATGAGCACGGCGAGGATGTGGAGTAAGTGACCGTTGGGTTGACTCAACGGCTACTTGACGAAGCCATGAAGACGAGCCGGCTCCCAGGTAATGCGTATAATCGTATGGACGGTCGGATGGACGGTCGGAGGGACGATGCGGATCGTAATCGGTACTCAGCAGGTTTCCTGTTGATTGCCGCGACGCTTGTGGGACGGTTTGAAACGAGGCACCGACGGCGAGTGGATTGGTGCGGAAGACGCACTGAAGGTGACCGGACACGGCGCACCAAGACCGCCGTCGTGCGTGGAGAGATGACATGGAGGGCCGAATGACGATAGCGTCACGGTGACATGCAACACCCTGGGAAATCCATGGAGGCGACCCAATGAGGCAATGAGCGGATTGTGGCTCTGGTGGTGAAGGCAAACAGGTCTGGCAAGGTCAAGAGTAAAATTTGTTTCCAGCCAGAAAGGTCATGTATAGTAATAGTCCGGACTTGATGTATTCTTGACGCTTGAAGAGTTTCGTTTTAGCGGATACCATCCAGAGAAATTTACAGTTTTGTCAAACGCGAAGTCTGACGTGGCCTTCACAAGCACCACAGAATGTGATCTCTTTAGAAAGGGGAACACCACCGTCGTTTCGGTTCTATTCGCCGAAGCAGAATTCTCTGGCTTCGCCAAGGCTATTTACGGTAACTTCGTAACATATTTACGATTTGCAAGCACAATGTCTGCATTGCCACAAGCTGCCAGATACGCACCAGCTCCCTGAACTCCAATTCTCGCATTCAGCCAGAAAACAGGGAATCCATTGCAGACCTGCTGCTTGGAATCTGTTTCTCGATATTTTTATCCACCTTTCAAGCATTGGAGCTCCAAAGCTCAGACAGTCACCTCCTTGTCCTCACTTCCTGTCCTGCCTGGGGACTGGAAAATAGGATCATTTCTTGAACACCCTAATTATTTATCTAGCAATGGCTGCCGTCGCTCCCAGCTGCTCGCTTCGTGCTTCCACTGTCTCGTCGACCATCGCGGGCCTACCCGGACTGCGCACGAATGACCGCCTCGCCACTCGACAACCGTCCACCATTCTCCCTGTAATTTCCGCCATTTCCACTCTCTGTCCGTCCGTCGCGCTTTCCTCCCGCCTAATCCCCACCCCCGCCTCTCAGTACCGTCACAGCCGCCAATCCACCTACTCTCGCGTCGCAATAATCTCCTCCGCGGCAGCGAGCGACACTCCCGAGACCGCGTCGCCTGCTTTGTCGCCGTCAAACGCGCCGGTAGAACGAGTCCTCGTCGTCGGCGCGTCCGGCGGCGTGGGTCAACTATGCGTCGCGTCGCTCGTAGCTAAGAACCGCTCCGTGCGCGCTCTAGTTAGGAGCGTCGAGAAAGCCGAGTCGCTGTTCGCCGACGCGCCCGCGGATTTGATTCAGATCGTGACCGCAGATCTCCGCCAGCCTGGCACCATCTCCCCCGCGCTCTTCGCCGGAATCTCCGCGGCGATCGTGTGCGTCGGGACGACTGCTTTCCCGTCCAAACGATGGGACGGCGACAACGGGCCGGAGCAAACAGGTACGTTCGCCATTCCTTAATTTTCGGTTATTGTTGCGATCTTGCCAGGTGTGTTCTCGGTTACTGGGATGCGGGCCATTGGCGATTCTTGCCTTCCCGTCTAAACGATGGGACGGCGACAACGGGCCGGAGCAAACAGGTAAGTTTGCAGGCTTCACGCAATTTCAGAAAAAAAAAAAAAAAAAAAAAACAAGGTTGTTCGCGGTTATGCCTCATCAGCCGGCATTGAACGAACCCTACCCCACAAATATTCATATAGCTTCCAATATTATTCTTCACCTCTCCTTCCCCTACCCCACCCTTTCCCCTCCGCCAGACTAACATCGGAGTGAAGAACCTCCTATCAGCTCTCCCCCGCGCAACCTTTCCTGCCTCGTCTTCGTCCCATCACCTGGGTCTGAAGGCTAGCCTACAACATTTCTAAATTTCCTCACATTGTCATCCTCATTTTCTGCCCTCCCCCCCCCCCCCCACCCACCCCACCCTCTCCCCTTCGCCTGACCACGTCGGAGTGAAGAACCTCCTAGCGGCGCTCCCTCGTGACCTGTCCCGCATCGTCTTTGTCTCATCAGCTGGCGTCGAGCGCTACAACCAGCTCCCCTACTCCATCTATTGACTTCCTCCCATTCCTATTCTTCCCTTCTCCCCAACCTCTTCCCCAACCCCCTCCCCGTCCACCAGACTACATCGGGGTGAAGAACCTCCTAGCGGCTCTTCCTAAAGACCTGTCCCGCATCGTCTTCGTCTCATCAGCCGGCGTCGAGCGCTACAACCAGCTGCCCTACTCCATTCTCAACCTCTTCGGGGTGCTCAAGTACAAGAAAATGGCCGAAGACCTCGTGAAAGCCTCGGGCATTCCGTACACTATCCTGCGCCCGGGCAGGCTGACAGATGGGCCCTACACCAGTTACGACCTGAACACACTACTCAAGGCAACGGCCGGGATGAGAAAGGCGGTGGAGGTGAGGAGAGGGAGTGATACGTTTTCAGGGGAGACGAGCCGAGTGGTGCTGGCGGAGGGGTGCGTGCAGGCTTTGGGAGTGAAGGCGACTGAAAACGAGGTGTTTGAGATGTTGTCTGTGGAAGGAGAGGGGCCGGGGGGTGATGAGAGTGCGTGGGAGAAGGTTTTTGTGTCTGCTCCTGCTGGCAAGTGAAGAAACTGAAGGATGCAGTACAGTTCCACGAGTCGTTGTCAGTTCGGCAAGGCGGGAGAACCCGTCAAGCCTTCATCAGTGCTCCTGAAGGATGCAGTACAGTTCCACGAGAGAGTGAGGGGAATGGCAGGGTGGTGCTGGCAGAGGGGTGTGTGCAGGCTTTGGGAGTGAAGGCGGCTGAAACCGAGGTGTTTGAGATGCTGTCTGTGGAAGGGGAGGGGCTGTCAAAATATGTTAGTCATATTTTATATAATTGATTGTGGTTTGTAGTGTAGTTATCTAGCATTGTTTGTGGTAATGGGAGTGCGTGGGAGAATATTTTTGCATCTGCTCCTGCTGGCAAGTGAAGGAACTTACATAGATGAGGGGAATGTGTTGGAAACAAGTTCTCAGCCCAACAGAATGGCGAGAATATTTTTGCATATGCTCCTGCTGGCAGAGGGTGTCGGAAACATATAGCTAGCGCTTCTGATGTGTCGAGGAGCACTACAATGTAAGCGAAGCGAACTACAGCGAAGTAACAACGAATCAACCAAAGCAGTTGACAAAAAGCAACAGCAACAGGCTAAGCGAAGGTCAAAGGTCAGCGACCTTTGACTCACCGAAAGCAGCGCGACAGTAAGGACACATAACTGACTCGCCATTGAGCAGTTAACCAAGCCGTCGATGTATCTAACCGCAACCGCAGTTACAGTTAGTTAAACCTTTCATATTCCTTGTAATCATATAAGGTCCTGTATCTCTTTGCTATTATCAACTAATCTTGTTCTCACATACCAGTACAAGGTGGTTCATCCAGTTCACTAAGACGCTTCCGCTAGGCCCCTAGATTCGTTTTGGGGCACGCTTGTCAGAATACTGAACGAGAATGAATGAACTATGAATGAGTTGGGTACAAGTACTAACCCAGGGCCTATGTTTGGTTTTTGGCTACTCACGATTAGCAGTGTAGCCTTTTTCAAAACCCTTATGAGTAGTGTGCCCTTTTTGGAAACACTAATGATCAGTGTAACCTGAACTTTTGAAAACTTTACCCAGAGGCATCAGTGTAGGTATATTTTTTACCCTGATTGTAATGTAGGCAGCTCAGTATGTGCTGGCAGCAACCAAGCTCGAGGCCCAAATTGGGCGCTAGTGGGTGGGGGTTGTGAACTCAAAAGAAAGGCGCAGTGGCTTGTCTGGTTTCGCTGCAACACTTGCTTTTTCGCCGAGTCAGCAAGCTTCCCGGGGGGGACGTGGGTTTGGGGACCTTGAGTCCCTAATTTCCGAGTCAAGAAAGTTAAAGTTTTTGCAGTGAGTGCAGATTTGACCGATCAGGTTGCATCGCCTCTACAGTAGGTTGCAAGCAGACATGGAGTGACGCGATGTCGGTTGTCAGTACTCACGTGCTGGCGTCGTAGTGCATCATTACGAAATTGAGTGTATCGTTACGAAATTTCTAGGAAACTTCGTCTCGATAAGTAGAGTTTCGAGGGGGGGGTTCCCTATACGCTCTTCAGGGTAATCTTAACAAACAGTACAGTGATAGCAAGTGTAAGCATGCAGGTATATATATAGATCACAGTACAAGCAAAGTCAAGCAGTGATCAAGTGAGGCAAAGTAGGCACAAGGCCTAAAACAGTACAAAAACGCCGATGATCACCAGATTGAAGTGCCTTGGTGAATATATCAGCAGTGTTGGCCTGAGAGGCCACGTAAGCAAGACGAAATTGACCACGCTGCTGCAACTCTTGAGCAAGGAAGTAACGCAGAGCGATGTGCTTCGTTTTGTGCTCCTGACAGAAGGCA